ACTGTGCTGCTATCAATTCAAGTACATACCAATTATAGTTATGGGCTTAGACACCTAATCCAACAGAAATGAGGGTTGGAGGTGAGTTAAGGTCTTTAAATAGGGTCCAAGACCCTAAATTAAGGTTTTAATCTGGCATGACGAACGCAACGCGTTCCCTTGGGGAATGCAGGGCGTTCCCAATTGCACCCGCGTCCAAATTCCCGTGTACTCCATGCGTACCTCCCTTGTACGTCATGCGTACCCGGTTTGGTCCAAACCCTTCTAACTTCAAATTATCATAACTTTTGCATCCCTTATCCGTTTTCGACGTTCTTTATATCCACAGAAAGGTAACGAGAAGCCCTACACTTCTATAAACTTTATTTAGTCTGAAAACCAACCGAAATTAAATCCAAAATTCATAAAAGGCCCGAACCAACGCCTTTACCGATACCCTTGGGCTCCAAAACACAAACTGAATACCCAGATCATCTAAACTACATCATCCACCTCCAAATGAGCCCAAACTCATTTCTTCAAGGGTTCCAAGTCTACTAATACCCACTCCTTGATCACCACCCAGCAATGGGAAACAATTCGAAACATGGCGTTACAGCTGGTTCATTTTTCCAACAATATATTAATTGGAATAATAAAAGGAGAATTAATAAAATAAATAGAGACCGTCTGAGTAAAAAAAAGAGTTAGAGACCAAGCGAACAGATTACCCCAAACCAGTGGGACCATCCATGTAATTTACTCTAAAATGTGGATTTAGTTGAACCGATCTAATGATCAGTTTCTGGTTTAACCTTTTTGGTTGTTGGTTCAATCGACAGTCTTTGGAAATTGATTGTTTTTTAATAACTAAGTGCAATCCAATTATCTAAGTCTCATAAATCGGTTCAAACTGTTTTTTACCGCTTCAACCCAGTTTTTAAGGAAGTCGTATGGTTCAATCTGATATAGAACTTAGCATAAACTAGTCGTTGTTAAATCGTTCTCGTCCCCAGTTCACGGTCTGACCGGTTCAACCGACTGGTTCGAACCGGTTTTTAAAACATTACATGAAACATTGTCACATTTTTACGTAATACAATTTTAAATCGGTTTAAAAAAAATCCACCTATTTGTTTATAAATGCTTAATTGTGACTATTATGGTCTGTTTAATTCAAGGTTGTAAAAAACGTTCGTCGTTACCTAGTTAGTGGATTGAGTTTTAGAGATTAATCGGTTAGGAGAGGATTAATCAGAGACTCTAAATTGCTAATTTATTGAATTTTAAAAAAATTAAATAAGTCTAATATCATAACAAAGTTCGTAAATATTATTAATAACATAACAAAATATGTTAATATGATTAATACAACACTAATCATTCCTCAAATAGTTTTTATTGAGATAAAATTTCTTCAAAGTGTTAAAATTTTATCGTTTGTTGCTGCTTTGCTCATTGTGTAGGCATAGATCAATCGTTAGGTGCATTCTAGTCGGTCGGACAACGCCTAAGGATTAATCGGAGATTAATCAAGACCTAATCGACATTTTTATAACACCAATTTAAATAGATAATATTTTCTTTTTCAAGTGAAATCCCTTAATATATATGAAAGATAGAAAAAGTGGTTTTGTTGTTATGGCATAAGGAGCCTTCAGATTTTCAAAATTTATGTTTTATTATTCCCATCAACTCTTATTGTGGTTTCAAGATTATTATTCACAAAAAAGTTGTAGGATTCGGACCTAGACTCTTTGGGTCATGAGCAAGATGAATTGACCAATTTTTTTTTAGTAGCAAGATTTCCCAACTTTTTATACTATAACGTTTGAAACATATTTTTAAGCAGAGATCGATAGATAGAGGGTTTAGAGTAAAACAGTAGCTAGTGGACTAAAAAACAAGACTTTTTTGTTTTAAGGCCGTCTGGTATACTTTCAACGGAGGTCTCCGTTGTCCAAATTGGCACCAAACACGAACACCACCCCTGGTGTCCGATGTTAGCCGTGATCATTGTGAGTTGTAATGGCTACGACGATGAACAACGCCTAAATACGAGGCGTTGGCTCTTTTTCTTCTCTCACACATTTCTTCTTCTCTCTTTTCTCTCTTTCTCTTTTCTCTCTTCTTTCACGCAATGGAGAGTATCCTGATGGTTGTGGTGGTTCAGGGAGGGCTAGTGGTGGGTGACTTGGAAGCTCTCCACGACACTTGTCGTGGAGAGTATTGAAGATGGTCTAACAACTATCAATTCAAAAAATTAAAATTGCAACCATTATTCGTTTTTTGTTGTGTTTTAAATTTTAGGGCATATTTTTATCGAAAAAACTAATATATTAAATTTTTTATATTTTGAACTTCGATACACAGACATCTATATCAACATATGTCGATGTCAAACTGCAAAGTTAGTTCTTTTTTTTTTTTTTTTGGAAAGCCATTTTGCTTTGGGTTCTATGATTTAATCTCTGTTTTTTTGGTTGAAAAATCAAAACCCAAAATTGGTTTTCTATAATTTAGTTTAGGAGTGCAACTTTCATATAAACATATGGACCATTTTTCTATAATATAGTCTAAAAAGTATTAATTTTTTACTGAAACTAAATCATAAAAACCGAAGCCAAATCGTTTTCAAAAAAAGAAAATAAACTTTGTGGTTTGCATCGACATATTGATATAATTACAGTTTATAGAGGACAAAAGATTATAAATTTTGATATATTAGGTTTTTTTTGATAAAATAAGTCCTAATTAAAAAAAATCATGATGGAGGTTTTTGAAAATACGTGTGGGGTTTTTTTTTTAAATTAATGGATAATCGTCATCGATAGTTTCAGCCAACATGTTATGAGCAGATGTAAGTTTGAAACTTCATTGTCGTCCATTTGGGTTCTCCGACGATGTTTCTATTTTCCAGCAATGGATGTCTAGGTGTATCCACATGTGGTTGCGTTGGTCGAACAAGATAACTGTAAAGATGAAAATGACTAAATGTGCACACAAATTTGTTTAATGCTAAATAAAACAATAAGCTTAATGTTGATTTGTGAACAACAAACGTGAGTTTAATAATGTTTTTTGAACAAGTAAACCGGATAAGCCATTAATATCCGATCAAAATTGTATTTCTTAAACCGGCAATATACAAAAAAAGTGAGTAAGTTTTTCATGATTTAGCTTGTTTTGTAGAGAAAAAAGAGAAACTTTGGTGTATTTAATGTCTTTTAACAAAGAAAAAAAATATTGCTAAAAAAGAGTTAGAGAATAAAAAAATTTACATATTCTTTTAGAATGGCTAGTACATACTTTTTAAATTGACTCCTAAATTATAATGTTTGTTCACCACAGGATTTAAACCATCATTCGTTTTGGGAAAAACACATTTTTAAACATTTAATACCACCAGACAAATTCCCTTTGGTTACTTTAAAGCGTTTATAATTTTTCTTAAAAAGGATTGATCTTTTTCACCTTTCTTTGCTTCATTCATTGTTATTTGTAACCACATGTATTGAAGCTATAAAGGTTAAACATTGAATTTGTGACACATAAGAACAAAAGCCAATTGGCAATTGAGACTTTTGACAGTTGACACTGCAAGTATTAGCCATGGGCTAACAACGCCTAATTGCCTATTGCCATTATAGTCTGATAGGTGACAATCTTGACTTCACACTACAATTTAGACTTTACCTCATAAAACGGACACCATTCAATATTCATACATCCTCAAAAACTAAATTCTCTCATTCATTTTGTATTTCAAAAATGAAATTTTGCATGCTCAAAGCTTTTCTTCTTCTCTTCTTCATGTCAAAGATTAGCAACGGAAGTGTCCTGTTCTCATCGTTGCCACAAACTCTTTCTGTTGTCGCTTCTCCTACAGAAGATCAAGGTAAAACATGTTACACTCATCATAAACTTAATTACATGTTTTGGCTCATATATATTTGATTATTCTAAGGTCTATAACTTATAATAATCATGCAACTTGCAGTTCTACAAGCTGGAGAAGATAGTATAACAGTATCCTTTGGATTGAACAGTAGTATTGCAAACCAAACCGATGAATCATACAAGTTTGTGAAGGTGAAGCTTTGTTATGCACCAATTAGTCAAGTGGACAGAAAATGGAGGAAGACAGTAGACAATTTAAAGAAAGACAAAACATGTCAGTTTACTATATGGGAAAAACCATATGATCATCAGCAAAACATGAGTCAACAATTTGAATGGACGATTGAAAAAGATTTACCAACGGCTACATATTTTGTGAGAGCATATGTTTATGATTCTGGAGATGAAGAGATAGGTTATGGGCAAACTACAAATGATAAGAAGATCTCCAACTTATTTAAGATTCAAGGAATTAGTGGGCGTCATCCTTCTATCGATATTGCATCGATTTGCTTCTCTGTTTTTGCTATTCTATCATTAGTTGGGTTTTTTTTGCTAGAGAAAAGACAATCCAAAGCCAAAAAATGATTGAGGGTGTGCTTAAAATTAATAGCTACTATGAGTTTATGAGCATTTCACATCTTGATCACTCAAATCCAAAGGAGTTTCTTTTGTAAGATGTTACATTTGCAAAGTAAAATTAGTCAAATATATTCGTGCTTGTTTGATTACATTCAATGTATCCTATGTAAGTTGATAGTCTTTTGGTAAAGCTTGAGATTGACTATCTAAAGTCAAAAAGTCAGCTCTAGCATCCAAAATAATAAAAATCATTTAAGAAATAGGTTAATTTCATAATAAAAAAAAAACTTGTATATTAGACATATTAAACCTAACTTTGTTTTTTTTCAAAAAAGAACCTTGTATTTTTTTTAATTAATAAAAGCACCAACTTATTATTTTTTCACGACAAAACCCTCAACCTTTTAATTTTTCCAAAAAAGACCCTCAACATTTGGAGTTTTTTTTTTAACTTACATTTGAGAAATGTTTTTGGAAGAAAAAAAAACTTACTAAAATGGTTAAATTGGAAAAAAAAAATATAAGGTGTTTTTCAGGAAAAAATAAAATAAAATTTGAGCATAATCCCATAGAAAAAAAACATAATATATAAGATATTTTACGATATTAACCCTAAGGAATAAAACTAAATACCAAACCTTCGTGCAATCATTTTAATGCATTTTCCTATGATTTGTTCCGTAACAAAACAAAACAAAAACCTTACTTGAAAGATTGAAAATAAATATCTTCATTTAATAAAATAAAATAAAAACTTTATTAATGTTAGTAAACCGAACACGAAACAAACACAATACCAAATTTAGAAATAAAAATCTAAATTGATGTAAAACAGGAACAGACTAATTAGATAATTCACAAGTTAGTCACATATATTTTTTTATTTTTTATTTTTATTTTTTTGTGTAATATTGATAAATAAATAAGTAGTTTTTTTTTTGTTATTATTGATGCATTCCATGAAACAAATTCTTTATATAATTAATATAATGGTTGGAAATTATGGATCCTATGTCTTTCGTATCCATAATGGGCAGTGATTTAAGATATAAACAGAGTATTTTGGTCCCTAAAAAGCTTGGGTATCAGTTACATTACTTGCCTTCTTTGGCTAACAAATTCTTTGATTCTTTGCTTTTTTATTTACTTAGCTTCAAGTCACCACAAATATTCATAACTTGTGCACCATCCACATTTTCGTACTCAACCACTTCGACTCACCCACCCATGTTTCAGCCACGCGAAACCAACCCACATTTTCAGCCACGGATCCAACGGCCCGCCCAAACCAATGACCACACAGACGGTTCGACCCTTCCGACACGGTTCAGACCATCCCCACCTTCTTCATCTCCAACGGTTCCAATCTTACCACGCTCACAAGGACCAGATTCCCATTTACCAATATCATCTCCGGTACTAGTACCAGTTCCAGCATCTGTACCTGCAAGGGGCCCACCACATTCGCGTCCGTCGCCAGTTAGTCACCAACGCTTCGGTGTTCCCCACTACCCTTCACCATCACTACATGTCCCACCACAACGGAGAACCAAGCGCCTAACATGGCTAGTCGCGATATGTTGTGTTTTCTTCTGGATTATTGTAATATTGGGAGGCTTGATTCTACTGATTGTCTACCTTGCGTACCGTCCACACTACCCTAAGTTTGATATCGCGAGCGCGAGCCTCAATGCGGCGTATCTTGATCTTGGTTATCTGCTTAATGGGGACATGACTTTGCTAGCAAATTTTACAAATCCGAACAAGAAAGTGAATGTTGAATTCCGTTATATGGTCATTAATCTTTATTTTGAAGGTACTTTAATTGCTGCTCGATATGTAGAACCTTTATCGGTTTCGCCTAGAGGTTATAAGCTTAGAGATGTTCATATGATAAGTAGCCAGATCCCGTTTTCGAGAAGACATGTAGCACAGTTGAATGAGCAGATACAAACCGGGAGGATTATGTTTGAAGCAAAGAGTTTCCTTCGTACAACGTCAAATCTTGGTGGGTTTTTTCGATACTCGTATTGGTTATATGGTTACTGCAAATTTGTAGTGAGTGGTCCTCCTAGCGGTATTTTGGTCGCGAAAAAGTGTGAAACCAAACGGTGACAATTGAAAACATGAGCACTTTTGTCGGAAAAAGTTGCTTACATTGATATCAAAAAGACAGAAGTGTAGCAACATTTCTAATATTGTTTTGATTATTTTTGTGATATAATACTTTTAGCTTGATCCATTTTTTTACTTCTTTCTGTTTAGTAACTGGTTTTATTATTTATATAAGCTTTCTTGACTAAGAACAAAGATTTGAAATCAAAATATCAAAAAAAAAAAAAAATGAAGCATGAAGGTAAAACATGTAGAAGATTAGCTTGCGTTTAAATTTAACTAAAGATAGCAAACACGACGATAACACTATAAACTTGATTTTCATATTTCATTTATGTTAGAAGAAAAACACATACGACTATTTGACTTGAGTTTTATGAACTAGAAACTTAATGTCTTTTTCTAATTTAATGTTCAATTTTCTTCTCGAATGAAATGACTTTATCAAAATACGTTTTCATATCGTTTTCAAAGATCAAAAATCCAATTATACTGGAAAAGATTAGGCAAATCATAATTTTGATAAATATAGTTATATACCTATAAATGAATTGATTTACTTTATAGCAAATCATAATTTTGATAAATATAGTTATATACCTATAAATGAATTGATTTACTTTATAAGCTTCTCTAAAAAGTCAAATGTTTAAATTAAATAAATTAGTTAAAGCAAATATGTTAAATCTATATAATATCTATAATCTATAAATATATAATACATTGAAATCTATATACTTCAAAAGAAGTGTTTGTTTGCCATTGCCAATCTTAATCCCGGCCCAATCCATACCACATACTAAAAACATACTCCCTCTCTTCCAATATTATTGTCCACAGACAAAAAACACACATATTAAGAAAATCATTAATTACCACTAACTTTATTTAATAAAATGGCAGTTTTGTCATTACTTTGCATTTAATGTTCCATTAAATGCTTAGTTGGTTAAGTAATAATGAGGGGGTATTTTGGTAAAAATGTTATTTATTTTTAGAAGTGAACTATTATTTTGGGACAAGCCAAAAAGGAAAGATGAACTATAATTTTGGGACGGAGGGAGTATTATATAAGTAATAATTTGGAAAGTCGTGGAAGACCCACACGTTACTGTTCATTTGGGTTTCTCATCTGTATTTCAAAGTCAAAATAGCTAAAACATTTACCATCTTCAGTTTTAATCGATTGTTTTCTCCCCCTTTATATCCATTAATCCTACCTATTAGAATACGATCTTGATATCTTTCTCTTGTGTTTGTCTCTCTTTATTCCTGTATCTCTTGTGTCCCTCTTTCAGCACATCAACTAATACAAACAACGTAAAAAACTACAAACACAATGTGACTTTGTTTTTGGAAGCATATAATGAAAAAATAAAGCTCCACATGACGTCGAAGGTAGATAACAAAACTTTGCTTGAATTCGGCCAACAACAAAAAAGGAAAAATATGAAACTATGATGGATACAACACCTTCTAAAGTCAGTAGATTGACAATGACATTCTATTATGAACAAAAAACTATTGATTATCTTCTTATTGGGTTCTAGAAGAGGTTTTGGAATGGTTAGAAGAAAAGAAGAAAACATTTTGAAGCTTTTGTTTTTTTTAGACAAAAGTGTAATGTTTTAATATGTATGTATTCATTTTGTTTGAATATAAATAAAAATAATATTTTTATTTATATAATGTTAGTAGACTGATTTGAAGATCAATATTCCGAGCCCGTGTTCATACGGGCTTAACTCCTAATCATCATATCATATCATACTATATTATAAAGGAAACATTTTTTCTTTCACCACATTCATTTGAAACTCCCATACATTTTTTTCTTTAACCACATTCATTTGAAACTCCCATGATTTTTCAATTTCTTTCTAATAATGATTAAAAGTTTGTTAATAAAATTAAATAAATACTAAACCTAAAGTGTAATCATATATAAACTAAATTTCAATATTAAAAGAATATATCTTTACTTCTACTTATAAAGTTATGTTTTTTTTAACTTTTTACATATTATACTCAATTTATTAATTTTAATATATTGTTGGATGTAAACCATTATCATTTTAAAGCTACAACTTTTTAACAATTTGTATAAAATATTTAAATTATAAACATAAATATAACATTACAGGACCAACTTAAATATAAATTTTAGTTTAACTTAAACAACCCAATTTTGAAAATAGTTAAAAGTGATAAATTGTAGTGTCTTTCTAATAATGATTATAATTTGGTTAATAAGGTTAAATAAATATCAAACTTAAAGTGTAATCATAAATAAACTAAGTTTCAATATTAAAATAATATATTTACTTCTACTTATAAAGTTATGTCTTTAACTTTTAACATATTATACTTAATTTATTATATTTAATATGTTGTTGTATGTAAACCATTATCAGTTTAAAGCTAAATGCAAAACTAATTTATAATATCAATTTAACTAAAATATTTTCTAAACATACTTGTATAATCGTTAAAAGTTGTCAAATAAGTAGTTTAAAATAACTTACAATAACAATAGTTATAAATAACTCTATATAAATGATTATATTCTTACCTTTAAAATCAAAAAACAATGTCTGGTGTTTTAAATAATACTAATGATAGAAATTAAAACGTTAAGAAAATAAATTTTAAAAAATTAATTAACAATAACAAAAAATATAAATAACATTAAGCCATATATTATATTTAACTTTATTCATGAGTAACTCGCGGATAGAAGTCATTCAAACGGTTGACATTATACAGTTATAATAGATATATATATTATCATATAATTCAAAATAATCAATATATTATATCAATTTAGTATACGAATTATTATATCAAATTTAACAACAACGTTATTGTTATATTTAAAAAACATATATTTGTAAAGATTTTAACTATACTATCTATCATTATCATTATCATTATCTATATCTATATATCTATCTATATATATACTTATAAAGGAAGCATTTTTCCTTTCACCACATTCATTTGAAACTCCCATGCATTTTTCCTTTCA